AAAAAGAAAAGTGTGTGTGAGGGGCATGCGTGCAGTCCCAGTCACTCCAGAGTGACCAGAGGATCAGGAGTTGGAGCCTGGGCAATATTGCAAGACCCGGTCTGGGGCGGGGGACCCCTCTTGGTTGAGGAAAAGGGAGAACCGCCTAACAGGCCGCAGACGTTGTGCTGGACCTCGTTGGTCTTCTCTGTTGGTGAGCAGGTAGCTTCACTCATCTACCCCAGTTTCCTCTCAAGTCCATCCTCGACCCAGGGAGGCTGGGGCTGTTCAGTGCAGCAGCAGTGGGAGACAGCCTCTGCGGCAGAGGCTGCAGTTACTACTGCTTTCTGGGAGTTTGTAGACAGAAGCAGGGTTGCTGCAGCTCACAGTCCTGCCCCCCAGCTCAGGGATAAGCTTTATCCCTGCAGGGAGGAACTGAGACAGAGGAGGGCAGCTGTGGGGCATGGTGCCCCTGTTTCTGGTCTCTGTGAAAAGACTCTGGAAATGGCCACTTTGCTCAAAGAGGGCACCATGATTTTAGAGCCTATAACTGGGGGCTCCCAAGTGGGAACTCCAGACCACCTCTTTTAACCCTCTCCAAGCCTGGAGGTGGGTGGTCTACAGGTGGGGTGGATCATCAGCTTCACAAAGATCACATCACCAGTAAGGAGTGAAGCAAGATTGCCACCCAGCTCTGGGTGACTTGGTGCCTTGTGCTCATCCGCTCCAGACCTGTTCATACTGGAGGGGAATTCACTGAGCTGGGATTCTAAGGCTGCTGGTCTGATGGTTTGATTGTTCCTCCCTGGCTCCTGTCCTGAAGACTCTTTTCCACCTGGCCCTTCTCCCTGCTTCTCTACTGCCTGCCCTTATGGTCCTCCGGCAAGCCCAGGACTGGGCCACAACAAAGAAGGATGAACAGAGAGACCTTCAGGGGGCACCTTTCCCTGCTCACCCACCCTACCAGCTGCTCCTTCAGGTCTCCTGCTTCTGGACCCTGTAGTGCTCTGACTCTGCCCTGGATCCTTTTACCCCTTCTGTCCTGGCTCACTCCTTTTCTGGATGCCTTCAGCAGGTGACTCTAAGAAACAACTCTGTCAATGGCTCCGCAGTGATGCCTCATCACTCCTCATGACTCGGAGGCTGACGTCCAGCGCTCTTCTTGACATCACTGGGATGTCTGATAAGCCATTCGCACTCAACATGTCCAAGTGGGCGCTCAGCCTCTTCAAAGCTGTACCACCCTTAATGGCAGCTGCACCTGCCCCCAACCCCTTTCCTCCCAAGTCCACTCTCAGCTCAGCAGCCACAGCCATCCTGGGAGAAAGAAGCCTGTTCCAGACTCCACCTCAGGGCTCCCTCGCCAGTCTCTCTCCTTGATTCCCAACAGGCCAGGCCGCACCCTCAGCCCTGGCTTCGCAGGCTCCTCCACGGCTTCCTCCTGCATTGGTGTCCTTCCCTCACGCTCAGCTCCAGCACTGACTGGTGCCCCCATCTTGTATGTTTTCATTTATTGTCTGTCCTCCCACTACCACCAGAAGCTAGGAGCTGCAGGCGAGCTATCTGTTGTCTTCCTTCACTGGTCCTGGGCCCTGGACTGAAGAAGGGTTGAATGCCCAGGCAAGGCCAGGGCTGAGAGGAAGACAGTGCGCTTAGCAGGCAGCCCATTCCATAACCACATGTTAGTACCAACTGTTGACCTGAGCCTGTGTTTGTGCAAGTAGTGGGTCCTGGTCCAGCTCCAAAGAGAGCCAAGATGACCCCATACTTGACTCACAATTTAAGGTCCACCTCTCTCTAACTAGTATATGTCATGACCATATCTCCACTCATTCAACAATGCATTTATTGAGCACCAACTGTGTACCATGTTCTGACTGAGCACCAAAATATGGTGCTGAGAAGACAGACAAGATCCCAGCACCCAGGAGGGCAGACAGACAATAAGCAAAGAAGCAAACTAATCAGGGATGTATTGAGCACCAAGAAGGCTGAGGAGGTGGCACCTGGGATGAGGGGCAGGAAGGCCAGATGCTCCAGCCGAGATCCCAAGGGTAAGCAGGAGAGAAGCATCCAGAAGAGAAACTGCCAACACAGAGGCCTTGAGGAGCTGGCAGCATGGTGTGCTTGTGGAGCCAGGAGCAGGTTCTGCAGCTAGAGTTTGTGCCAAGAGAAGGCAGGAGGACAGGGCTTAAGATGGAGGGATGATGGGCCAGCTATAGACATGTTGGCTTTGACTTGTGGGATGGAAGCCTCTGAAATCTATTATCTCTTCTTTATGGAGATACAATCGGCATATAATAAACTGAACATTATAAGTATTCAATTTGATGCATTTTGACATATATGTGAACCTGAGAAATTATTATCACAATTAAGGTAGAAAACCTAATTTTTGTTGTCTTCAAATGTTCTTTGTGCCCTTTTCTGCCCCTATCTACAGACAACCACTGTTCTACTTTCTGTCACTGTATTGCCTTTTCTAGAATTTCCTAGACATGGATTCATACAGTACGTACTTATTTTTGTGTAACTTCTTTCACTCAGTAGTTACTTTGAGACTCATTCATGTTGTGCAGGGAGCAGTTGTTGACTCTTTTTATTGCTATTGATAAACATCTGGGCTGTTGCCACTGATATTACAAATAAAACTGCTAGAACATTTGTGTGCAAGTCTTTGTGTGGACATACGCCTTTATTTCTCCTAGGCAAAATACTCAGCAGCAGAATAGGTAGATCATATGGAGTGTGTTCAATTTTCTAAGAAACTTAAAAATTCTCTCATGGTGGTTATGCCATTTCACATTCTTACTGGCATCTGGTCACCCTCAGTGTCTTTAACATCACTGTGGTCATTGTCTCTGCTGGAAGAGTCTGGTAAAGTGGCATGGTTGACGGATTTCAGTACTTTGGACTGAATTCAGGGTCACTCTGCCACTGAGCTAAACCCCCAACCCTTTTAATTTTATTTTTCATTTTAAGACAGGGTCTCGCTAAGTGGCCCAGACTGACCTCTAATGGGATTCTTCCACTTTAGCTTCCCAAGTAGCTGTGGGTATAGGTGTGCACCACATCACCCCATTATGACTTTATTTTCAAAAAATCACTGTGAAGCTCAGTGTGGTGGCCATGCCTGTAATCCCAGCTACTTGGGTGGCTGTGGAAGGAGGATCACAAGTTTGAGGTCAGCATCAGCAACTTAGCAAAGCCCTAGCAACTTCCCTGTTTCAAAATGAAAAAGGACAGGGGATATGGCTCAATATAAAGCATCCTAGGATCCAAATCTCAATACAAGAAAAAAAAAACACTCACAAATCCCTCTGATGCTGATCCATGGAGAATGGATCAGAACAGGTAGGAAAGGGATAGTTCACAAAGTGTGGACATTTTCTCTCCAAGAGCCAGGTGGTCCCAAACCTACGAATCCCATCCCTCCTACCCCCACCCCATTTCTGCTCCTGTTTTCAGAAGCCTCCTTCCTCTTTTCAGTTATGTCTGCTAGCTCTCCCCCACCTTCCCCTCTCTAAAAGCCACTGTCTGTAGGTGAAGACCCCCCTGGGTTCCACCTACCCTGCAGTCAGGGGTAATCCAGGTGGCTAGGGCAGGGAGGCCAGGAGGGCCTGACACTTACTCTCCCCCTTTCTGAGACATGCTGGCCAGTTTCAGTTAACTCTGAGTGTGACCTTGGTGAGCCCAGTGTTTTCTGTTTTCGTTAATCTTTGTTTTCGGACAATCATCCTGCTCCTAAGAATGGAAAAGGTCAGCATCAGGGCTACAGTTTTCCATGGGTAATAGTGGCCATGGCCACCCACTGGAGGAGGGGAGCCCCGGTACAATGCTCGGTGACAGAGACAGAGATGCCTGAGAGGGCTAGTGGGTGCC